TTCTATCTAAGGAAAGGTGTATGTTTTTGATAAAGTTTTATCAAAGCATCTCGTATCAAAAGTCTGAACCTTGGTAAGAAAGTCAATAAAGTATTGATTTCTAGAAGTCCAGCTGATTTCTAAGTACGTGTCAAAGCTAATGGGAGCATAAGTGTTATGCTAATAATTCTCATGTTAGTGGGAGCACGATAATTATGATAAGTGTTGCAAATTATAGAAAACAAAAGTTTCAATTGGGAAAAGTTGTTTTGCTATAATTAACGGAGAGGAAATTATACTTCATTTCAATTCTAAAAGCTTAGATTGAGATTTTAATCATCTTTAGTCAATGATATATATATATATATATATATATATATATATATATATATATATATATATATATATGAATTTTATGTTGGAATGGCTCAACTTAAGGAAATTCTATATATATTGCGTTCTCAAAATTCAATTACGATTACGGCATCCCTCTTCATAGTCGAATTATGAAAACATGGAAAATAAAAAATATTGTAGCAAAAGACTGATCTAGAATCATGTCTTTATGTGAGACATCATGAATCGTGTCCTGTATGCTTCGGATATAGGATCAACTGCATGTGCTATAATATTCATATGTTCTAAATTCTTCCAAATGTCTATGGCATTAAGAGGGAAAAAGTACTAGAACTGGATATGACTAAAATGATTAAGCAATTGTTGAGGACAATCTAAGGTTTACTAAAGATTGGTTGCTCAGGGACAGTTGGAAGTATAGTGTTAATTTTGGAAGGACCATATTGACAAATTCTGAAAGGAGGCAACTCTTGTTCGGAAGTGATAGTCAAAATGGGAATATGGAAGTGTCTCCATGGGTGGGAACTATTTAATCTGTGTAAGATTAGAAAACTTAATGCAAGAAGGATGTTCAAAGAAATGTACTTTGAATATGAGACTTCATTTCCATGGAGTTGATCTCTATTGGAATACTCTGTAATGTATGTTGACAAGTCTTTGTGACTTTGTGCATAATCATTACAGAGGATCAGTGCATATAAGTTTAAAATCTAACAGATTTCGGTAAATGGCAGGAATTTGGAATTCTTGCATTTGCGATAAGGATTTGGGATAGTGAAATGAGAATCATTGGAATTACGTTCAATCGATCTATTTCACAAAGTAAAGATCATACACAAACTTAGTGTTCATACTTAGTGTATGGCATAACTAATGTTTGGAAAAACATAGTGTGCGTACTTGGTGTATGGCATGACTACTGTTTAGAAAACATAGTGTACATGCTTGGAGCATGAGACAACTATTGTTTTAATTCAAGTATAAAGTTGATAATTTGAAACAGTATGCAATGAATGATGTGTAATCAATATGGTGATAAATAAAAGGTGTTCTATTTATATCCATAAGTTCTGAGACCATATTGGATTTGATTATTCTTATGTTTCACTTTGCATGTTTTGACTTCTAGAATTACTAGGTCATTCTTCCTAAATAACTAAGTTATTCAAACCATCCACAGTCAGTCATATGTTGGAAGTAGATATGAATCAAGACTGTCATGAAGTTGGCTTCTAGATGTCTAAGATGTTGGACATAGCAAGAATTTCTACAAAACTCATGAGTGCTCATAAGTTCTGAGTATTGGATTCAACCCATGCTCATTTAAATCACTTCATGGATTTTATCACGAGTGATCATGAGACGATAATATCTTATATTCTTCAAAACTAGAGATATGAGTTGTTGACTATGAGTTGGTCATACATTGATTGCACGAAAACGCATTGGTAACTCGATGTTATAAAACGTGCCTTTGTGTATGATTCAACAAGTAGTAGGAAAAGTATATGAGTCGAAGCTTATCCATTCCTTTTACCCTTGAAGGGATAAAAGTGATATTTGTGGGGCCCTCGATGATTTAGTGATGACACTCCGAAGTGCTTGGCTAAGCCTGGATTGATGTGATTTGTTCAATTAGTCAGTCGTTATAAATCAGAAATCAGGAAACAACAAATGGACAGAGGGAATGATTATAATCCCATGTCTCAGTCCATATGATATCTAGAATGGAGGAATATATGATCCCTTATCTAATGGATGCGTCATTGATTTGTTCAGAGTTCAATAGCAGCTCTCAAGAGCTACGATTGCTAGTCGGGTTGTAGAGTCATACGCAATAATAGTTTTAGACTTATCCAAGTGGGAGACTGTTGGATTAGTGTCTAAGTCCATAACTATAATTGGTATGTACCTGACCTAATTTGGCATGGTCCATTTGGGTTGCATGGCATCGGAACAATTTGGATAGACTTTTGTGAGAAAAAAATATTTATGATTTGTTACTATATTATAAGTTCTAATATATTAATATGAAATCATATTATTTAATTAGTATTGATCAAGAATTAATTTGGAATTAATTTTGTGATAAAAAAGGAGACTAATTAAATATATGGGGATTGATTGTGTAAATCATTCATTCTTATATATGTGGGCTTATGATCCACAGTTCTTCATGTTGGGCTAAACCCATGAAGTAACCCATGGATACTCCATGGAGGTTTTAACCCATGGAGCATGAAGAATATGGAAAGACATGGGTTACATGGTGTAACCATAATAGTCACAATATATAAGGACCCTATGGCTCAAGAAATCGGACTAAGGTGTGTACACATGAGGGCTAGCCGATTTGAGCATAAGAACTTCTCACTCAAGTTATTCCAAGTTGTTGATGGTGTTGTGTGAACCATTTGAGGTGTCACACTTGAGGCACTAGGCTCTTAAGCTCCATGGAATCAAGCTACTATACAAAACGTATGTTACTCTAACTAGTATCTTATTTGGTATATGAGAATGCATGCTAGTTATAGGTTTAATGCCTTGGAATCCATTTGCATGTATAATTAGTGAAAACATAGATCCAAGGTATTTAGGGTTGTATGTGCACCATATGATGTTGTAGTATAATAAAACCCTACAAAAAGGAGCATCGACAACAAGCAAGTCGATGTCGTGACAGAACTACCAGACTGGACTAAATCATTCCTAGATTACTTGCATCATGTGATACTCCTAGATGATCCGAAAGAGGCCAGGTAGATAAAAATCAAAGCCCCCCAGTTCTCGGTGAAAGGCGTACAACTGTACAAAGGGGGGTATCTAGCACCGTGGCTCAGATGCATCTTGCGCAACAAAGGTCAAGCTCTCCTAGAAGAAAGCCACTAAGGTGAAATAGGAGCACATGAGGGGGCGCGAGCATTCACAGAGAAAACACTATGCCTAGGGGTATATTGGCCCAACATGTACAAGGAATCAGGGGGAGTCACGAAGAAATTCCCGGAGTGCCAAGCATTCTCCCCAATCCAGGACCTACCAGCGACAACCATGACCATCATTAGCAGTCTATGGCCTTTCCATGAATGGGGCATTGATATAGTGGGACTATTCCCAACGGCCCCGGGGGGATTAAAGTTCCTATTAGTCGCAGTCGACTACTTTATGAAGTGGATTGAAGTATAGCCTTTGGCCACAATCACGGGAAAACAGATGATCAGCTTCATGTGGAAGGACATCCCGACTCAGTTTGGAACTCCCAGGATCCTGGTAAGTGACAACGGCACCCCGTTTGAGGGTATCCCCTTCAAAGAATGGTGCGAGGAGACGCAAATCCATCATCGCTTTACCTCAGTCACACACCCCAGGCGAACGGACAAACCGAAATATCAAATAAGACCATCATGAATAGACCTAAAAACGCCTAATGAAAACAAAAGGGGTCTGGACCGAAGAGTTGCCAATGGTGTTGTGGTCATACCGCACTACCGAGAGGTCAGGAACTGGAGAAACACCCTTCAGTCTAACATACAGCACGGAAGTGGTGCTCCCGCTCGAGATTCTGAGCGAATCACTACGGGTAACACACTTTGACACAAACTCGAATGAGGAAGAGCAACGACAAGACCTGGATATGCTAGAAGAGAAGCGTCAGGCAGCATAATTGCGACAAGCAGCCTGCAAAGCCCGCACGAAAAACTTCTAAAATTAACGAGTGCGAGCAAAAAACTTCAAAATCGGAGAATGGGTGCTGAGAGATAACAAGGCCAGCCACTCGAAGCCGCAGGGAAAGCTGAGTGCAACCTGGGAAGGCCCGTACAAAGTAGTAGAGATGCACCAAGATAGAGCATACACACTGGAAGCACAAGACGGAAGACATGTACCCCGAACATGGAACACACGCAACCTATGCCACTTTTACTTATAAAACAATTGGCGAATAGTATAGCAAAAACAAAAAAAAAAAGGGGGGGGGGGGGGGGGGAGGACAATGCCGCCCGAACTTTTATCCTCGGGGCTACACCCAAGTCAAAGTGACAACACGTAAACCTTCGAGATTTTCTCCAAGCTCTTTCCAATTAGTAAATTCTTGCTAGAAAATAGGATCGATTTTACTCATCAACATATACGCATACGCACGCAGATGCAAATATAAAAACCAAAAACAACAAAGAAAGGTTGTGCAAATTTGCCAAATGGAATCACAAGTTGATCACCCACACTGTTTAGGCGGACCAAATTGCCAGCATGCAACTACAAATATCGAAAAGAGATGATTCCTCAGGGGACACGTTGGTTCGGCCAAACGACAAGGCCTCTAAGCTCTCGAACCAAACGTATTCAAAGGGTATGAAGGATCACAACCTTCCCCTAAAAATAAAAATATAACAGATGCGGATCTAGGGAGCCTCGAGGTGATGACCTCGGCTCACCTTAAGAGACCACAAAAGGAAGGTAGTAGGTCACCCGACTCAGGGCCGAAGTCCAAGCCTACAAAATACTCTCTGGGGAGATGCTTCCCCAAAATAAAGGAAAGCGTGATGATATTTCAAAAACATAAAAACCTAAAACATTGAAAGCATCTTCTGGTGTCAAACAAACAAAAAATAACAACAGCAAGCGTACAAAAAACATCCAGTAAAACATTAACCCTAACAAGACTGCGTTCACATGCTACCCTCAACGTCGTCGTCTGGAACAATGTCCTCCTCCTCAGAACATAATTGGCAGAGATCAACAAGACCAAGCTCGCCTAGTTTGAGATAAGATGCGAAGTCCGTCTCAGCGAAAGCCCTAACGACAGCGTGCATGGCATCAGTAGGCTGAGCGATGACGCCCGGTTCGGATGGGCCGAAGCCGCTACCAGAGGACAATACCTGCACCGTCTGTTTTCCCCTCTCCACACCAGCAGCCACATACCCGGCCTTCACGCCGCGAATCCCGAGCGCAAACTCATTGTTCTCAACAACATGGTCCACTACACGGACCACCCCATTTCGAAGAACCCAAGACCTCGGCCGCGAGCTCACTGCCTCGCAACGCCAAACGTTCCACTAATGTCGTTTTCTCCATAGCCAAATCTTGGACCTGCTGAGATAGGCGGTTGACCTCCCCATCCAAAGTCGCCACCTGAGCCTCATCAACGGTTTTCTCCCCAAATAACACAAGGTAGCGTTCATTGAACTTACGTCGCTCCTTCTCGAGGAGCCATATCTTCTCTGCAAGCTCGTCGTACTCCGATTTAATGGGAGCCAACTCCGCCCAGTCAACCCCGATGAAACAGAGACAGCCGACAGCAGCCACCAAATAAGGAGCCACCTGAACAGCGGCATACTAAAGATCATCTACCATATGAGAATAACAAAGGCATCAAGGGCCTCTAGGGTAGCAGAAGGAAATGCATGATGATACTATTCACTAGCAAGACCCTATTCCGATAGAAGAGAACTTGGTGTAAGGTTCTACCTTGGGAGATACACACCAGGGGGGCCCGAAAAGGAAGGCCCCACTTTCGAAGGGACGCCATTCGAAGCCGAGGGTGAGGTGGAGCAACCTACCGGAGTGATTGTTTTCCCTCGATGGTGTGAACAAACCGCCTCTGCCACTAATAACTCATCACTATCAGCAATATCGATAATAATAAGTGACTTAGCGAGAAAAGGTTCGATGTTGCGTTTCCGGCATAAGCGTCGTCCAATAGTACCACCACCAACATCCTCCCCAAGTGCAGAATCTGCAACAGCGGCCGAAGACGGGATATGAACTGAAAGCTAGGCACAACCGACCCCTTAGATGGAGAGGCAGCCTCGGCTCTCGCCACGGCAAGAAAGGCCTCGCATTTGGGAGCAGGCCCGACAATATCCAAGGCAAGTAGTGCCTCCACCAGGGGAACCTCGTGATACTGGAGATCACCCCCAAATAAGAAGTCGATTCCTTTGGGAAGGTGATGATGACAAGAGGAAAATAAAGTGGGTTGATTGGGATATTGTAATCAAACTGAAGAATCATGGAGGTCTAGGACTTGGTTGTTGTTGAAATTACCTCCATTGGACTGCCCTCGGTGTGTAGACAAAACTCTAACCAACCCCAACCTCGAACAACCGTCGGAGTTGACTTCAACGACCACCGCCACCATCGCTGCCTATTTTGGCCACTTCTAGCCACCCATTTTCAAAACCGAAACTACCACTAGAACCACTAAAATGTGCACAACAAACCCCCTCTAAGCAAACCCATGTGGCAAATCGTCGAAATTTCAACTGTTGAAACCCCAATTGTCGTCGCCTGTAAGGGAGGAAGACGAAGGTTAAGGTTAAAGTATGTAGGGGTAAGAGCGAGAGGAGACGATGACTAAGGAGACGACATTGTTATGGTTGAAATCGAAGATTAAACGTATGGTGGTGACGGTTAACGGGACAGTGGTGGTGGTTGTGTTAGCTGACGCTGATGAGAGAGGAGTTTAAGGGGAAGGGTGTTATTTATTTGATCTTTGTATTTTTTTTTTTAATCTCTTAATCATAAAGAAAAATGTAAAATAAATTAAAAAGCGTACAAATGTCTTTTTTTTATAGGTGAGAGACAAATCATGATAGAAATTACAGGAACCTCCAACGAAAAAAGTTAAAAACTAAACGTGATATTATAAGAATCCACTCACACAATTTATCAAGATTTGTCTTTAATTAACACAAAATTTCATAAATGGCCCTTATACATTTTCAGAATCTGAGCTTTAGCCTCTAATTTTTCTTTTTTTTTGTCCTTATGAAGGTTCTTATGATTTCAACTTCTATCGTGGTTGGTCCCGTGGTTTCATTTTGTTACAAATTTGATATAAAATTATTATTTTACCCTTGATTAATTTGTTTTAGTTTTTTTGTATTTTTAATTTACATTAATTATAAAACCATTTTTATTTAAAATTAAAAAAAAATATTAAACCAAAAACCACATTTGCGTCTATTGGCTCCCACTCCCTAACGAATTATTCTTCCCTTAATCGACAACCACCATCGACCATTTCCTCCCTCTATTACCCACTGCCCACCACCATAGACAATCCGATGGAGATCAAGATCCCAGAGCAGAAGTTGAAGCAACCATACATTTTATAGCGAATGGATCTGACAAACAAACTTATTGTCCCAATGATGTGATGGTTTTCTTTCGTTCCCTGTTCTTAAGCCTCGTCGGAGAAACAAGGAGGTCTACGGAAAATAGAAACTAAAACTCACTCACACGCACACATTATATATTTGCAGATATAGTTTTGGTGATGGTGGAGCAATAGTTACAAAAAGAAGGATCGAGAGTAGGAAATTCGTTAGGGGAAAGGGGATCGTCGATCCATAGTGGACTTGGCGATGTTCCCTGTGTCGATGAAGACGGAGGATGGTTCTTTGATGGCGATGATGGTTCGTTTGGTGGTACCGTTGTAGCGGTGGTGGAGGAAGTGGTGGTGATTTCGATGGGTTTAATTGGGACGAATCGTTTCCGGCTTCGCCATTAGGTCCGACGTTTGCTTTTGTATATGAAATGCTTTTATGTATCGCTTTCAAGTGTAAATAACGTAAGGCGTGATTTGGCGGCAATGTCAAGCCTTGGCAAGTCACGTCGTTTGTAAGGCGTGACTTAAGACGATAATTTTGTATATAATTCATATTTTATATGTATTTTCAACTATTATTTATTTTTATACACATATATGAGTCAAAGCGGTATTTTGATAAAGTTTGGCGGCACATACAAGCCATGGCGGAGCCATGACGAGCTTTTTAGAACCTTAATCGTTTTTTTGAACTACTTTTGATAGGATCTTGGCTGATGGGAGTTGCTGATCCTAAAAGAGAGAAGGTTTCCTTGAGGTTTAATCAAATATGGTAATCTGTCATTTACACAATCTGTGTTTCACTCCTGAATGAAACAACCTATTCTTTTTAACTAGAAATTGATGATGGATGTGGTGGTGGTTCGTGGATGATGAAGGTCTTTTCTGGTATTTATTGATTTGAAGCTGTGGGGGTGAGGTGGCGGAGGCGTTGACTTGTGGTGGTGGTGGTGGAAGAAGGGAGAGAGAAAAGGGTGGATGGAGAAGATACTGTCATAGTTGTTGTAATGGTGGAAGCCTTTTCTAGTGGTAATGGTGGTGGATGGTGTTGGAAGATGGTGGTGGTTGTCAGTGGCAAAAGAAGAGATAAGAAAAAGGGTGAGGGTGTAGACTTTTTCTAAATTCTGATTTGATAATAACATAAATATTAATTTAAATTCTAATTAACCAAAAAGAAATAACTAAAAGAAATTAAAAAGATATAAAAGTTATTTTACATAGACCAAACACGCTGTAAACTGAAACGCTATAAATTGAAACCATACAGATTTTCCATAATTTCCATGAAAAAAAAAATAAATACTAAAGCCTAAATTTTGGCAAACCACATGGCCATTTATGAAGATTTATCTTTTAACTAATTATACTTATTTATTCAAATTAATTCAAATTATAAAAAAGTAAGTTGAAATATGTGACTATTTCTTGGATTTTAAAAAGAATGATTGTAAAATAAGATGACACTTAGGTGGTAGGAAAAATGTAAAAGGTAAAATCAAGGTTTTAATCGGTCGAACCGGGAACCGGTGTAGTGTCCGGTTTAATTAGGACCGGTTTTATGTTAAATTTCATGCCGGTGTGAATCGGCCGGTTATTGTTATTTTCCGGTTGAACCGGTTGTAATGAATCGGATAAATACCGTTTAAACCCGTGGGTAAACATTTTTGGGCTAAAATATGGAACGTGGGCTTCACAAGTTGCAGCAAATATAACCAATTTAGACTGAATGTTACGCACAGTAAGTCAAGTTCTTGTCTATCGTCATCTCCATGGTCGACGTAATCAATAGTTCAATATTTAATCTTCCATAATCACGTTGCTTTTTTTAATATAACATTCATTGTCGACAGGTAAGAATTGAGCACATATGTTTTTTTAGTTCAATTTTAATACATGAACCTACGATCCATAGTTCATACATTATACATGATTTTAATCAAGTAAACTGAAAAAAATCAATACATAATTCCTATCCTCTTTACTTTCACCATACATTATTCTAATTAATTTTGGTTATGAATGATTACCCACTGTTTAAGTTTATTAATTTTGGTTATGACTTATGAACGATTACCCACTGTTTAAGCTTATTAAATTTTAATTTATGTTTATTATTCTGATTTTGAAATTGGTTATGGTTTTGAACATGGATTCTAGAGACAAACAACCAATGGAAACACAATCTCAATCACAACCTTTCGTTCAATCAAATGTAAGAACGAAGACGGATAAAGCATGGGAACATATAACTCTAGCTAAGGATGATAAAGGAAACAAGATTTACATATGTAATTTTTGTCAAAAAATTTGGCGTGGTGGTGGCATAAGCAGAGCTAAGAAACATCTTGCTGGTGTTACTGGTGACATATCACCTTGTACTAAAGTATCCCCAGAAGTCCGTTTCTTAATGCAAGGTCTTTTGAAAGAAACGGCACGAAGGGAAAAACGTAAAGCTAGTGGTGATGGCATAAACATTGTTACTATCTCGGATGACGATGAAGAGACGGAAGAAACACAAAATCAAAATGTCAAAGCACGACCTAATAAAGAAGGAAAACGGAAAGGTACATCAAGTTTTCATCCTTTCTTCACAAAAGGTATAAATGATCCTTCTCAATCCACTATTAAATCTATCATGCAAACTAAGCAAAAAATACATGATGTCGATTTAGCAATTGCGATGTGGTTCTATGATGCATGTGTACCTATGAATGCTTGTAACTCTCCTTATTTTCAACATATGGTAGATAAAATAGCGGGTATTGGTTATGGGTACAAAGCACCTAATTATCATGCTTTGAGGGTCAATTTATTGTCAGATGCAAAGAAGTCTGTTACAATGTTAATTGATTCATATAGAAATCAATGGATTGAAAGTGGTTGCACAATCATGAGTGATGGGTGGAGGGATACTAGGCAACGCCATTTGATTAATTTTTTGGTTTATTGTCCGAAAGGAATATCATTTCTTAAATCTATTGATGCATCTGATATAGAGAGTAATGCTTCAAATTTGTGTAATTTGTTTGCTGAGATTGTTGAAATGGTAGGACACAAGAATGTGGTTCAAATTGTCACTGATAATGCTGCCAATTACAAACTTGCTGGTAGTAACCTGTGTGAAAGATATCCTTCTATTACTTGGTCTCCATGTGCAGCACATTGTCTTAATCTTATATTAAAGGATGTTTCAAAATTAGATAATGTAAAAAGTTTGGTCACTCTTGCATCCAGGGTTACTGTTTTTATTTACAATCATAAGTGGCCCTTAAATTGGTTAAGAAAAAGAGATGGTTGGACAGAAATCATCCGTCCAGGTGCTACCCATTTTGGTACTGCGTTTATTGCATTGAAAAGTTTATATGACCATAAAGCCGATTTACACGCAATGGTCATATCTAACGACTTTAAGAAGATGTTGAAATTGAGAAATGCGGCTAAATGTAAATATTGTCTTGAATGAAAACTTTTGGAAAAATTGTTTGATTACGGTAAAAGTGATGACTCCTTTATTAAGGCTTTTGCGGTTATGTGATTCAGATGAAAAACCTGCATTGGGTTATGTTTATGAGGGAATGTATGGGGCAAGAAGAGGAGTAAAGGAATTATTTAAGAAGAAGAAAGAATTATACAGGCCTTAATTGATCGTCATTGGGATAAAATGCTAAGAAAAAGTATTCATTGTGCAGCGTATTGGTTAAATCCAGTTTTTCAGTATAATCATGAGAATGTTTGTTCTAAGAGAGAGGTGTTTCAAGGTGTTCTCGATATGGTTGAGAAGAATTTTTCTGGTACAAGCATTTTAGATCTTACACTATCTCTTGGCAAATTTCGTGACAGTGAAGGTACTTTTGGTAGATATAGTGCCATTGCTTCTCGTACTAGTACACGTCCAGGTAACATTTAACTTTTGTATACTATTATTAACTATATTATTGTGAAATATATTTTTTTTCTTACCATTTTATTTGTAGATGAGTGGTGGAAGTTATTTGGCGGAGATACTCCAATATTACAAAAGTTTGCTATTAGAATACTAAGTCAAACCGCATCGTTTTCCGGTTGTGAAAGAAATTGGAGTGTCTTTGAAAGAATTCACACAAAAAAAGAGGAATAGGTTGGAACATCAAAGATTAAATGATCTTGTATTTGTGCACTACAACTTGCGTTTAAAAAAATAGGTACATTATATTATAATAAAATATTTAATTAATAATAATGTCTTTTTATTTTTTACAACTTTTTTTTGTGAGTGATTTTGTATACTAAAGGTTGATAAAAGGTCTTACGATCCTATTGACTATGAATGTATTGATAAGACGGATTTTTGGGTGGTTGAAAAAGAGCCGGAAGGAGAACTTGATTACAATGATTTAGAAAATATGCTTGACGAAGAAGAGCATGAACCAGTTTCTCAAACACATTCTCAAACACAAGGTGACATTTTTTACCATAATATTAATGTAGTGTTATAATTTTAGTTTATTATTAATCTATTTTGTGACATTAACATTGTTTGTTTATATGGTAGAAAAAGAAACAGGCCTTATTTTTAATAATGATGAAGTTGACAGTGAATTTCATTTATTAAGCGATCGTTAGATTGATGCATATAACACTCCAATGTCTCAAGATCCATGATTTGATTTAATCTTGATGCGTTACTTTTAAGCTAAAACTATATTTTTATTAGTTATTATCTTTTATGTTATTTTGGATGTATTTGGATTGATATAAAACTTATGGGAATGTGTTTGGATTGATCTACAATTTTTTGTCATATGCATTTTTATTGTTTGAACGTGTGGATGTTAAATTACTGGTTATATATATATATATATATATATATATATATATATATATATATATATATATATATATATATATGTGTGTGTGTGTGTGCAGGAAAAAAATAAAAAACATAAAAAAAAAATTAGAAAACCGGTTGAACCGGAAACCGGTCACGAGACCGGTTCAACTAAACAACCGGTTTTTAAAACATTGGGTAAAATATGACCGCACCCTGCGACCTTAAAGGTATAGGAATCGAATCCCAACCATTGGCTGATAATTTGGTATTTATATTGCCACATCAACATCGGTTGGATGCCACATAAGCAAAAAGACATAATGTCAATCATTCAAAAACTAATACTACATTGCTATCATAGGTAAAAATTAAAGTTCATTGCCAATATATTAGTAATAAAAGAAAAAATGTGTTGCTATTTTCCCGGAATTTCTCTAACATTCTATAAACAATTGTGTAAAATGTACATCAGTTTACATTACATCTTTTGAAGTTCGATTTCCATAAACCAAGTGAAGCAGGAAAAAAAAACTTAACATTTTTTAACTGACATTAAACCTACTAACAAAAATAAAGAAACCTAACTTTTGTGATTATAAATTTACCCATCCAAAAAAAAAACCCTACAAAATCAATGAATTTAATTTTAACAAGACCTCAACTTGTTGGAAAGATAGAGCAATTGACTAACATTTGTAGAAGGGTAACTTTGTAATAACTTGAGATTTGCTGTGAAATCTCCAGCAAGCAAACGCCTCCTAACCAGAATCAGCATTGCACAGCAAACCCGAAGGAGAGTCTCCTGTAAATGTAATAGAACGAGAGAGTAAATGACCATTTTACCCTTGTATCTAGACAATATAGAAATGTTGGTTGGGTTGAGTTGACTCACTTGAGGTCCCTCAGGGTCGCTTAAGAGTGCATCCCAAATGTGAAGACTATCAGAAAAGTTAAACTCCTGAGTCAGTAAAAGTGTGATCCATCTAAATGCGTAGAACTGTGGGTTTACCTGTCATTACAAGAAGGGCATTTTAGTCTTTTCATCAACATTCACTTGATGTAAAAAAAAATGAATTTCCGTTTACTTTTAGACAAGAAGGAATCTTGGCGCATGTTCTTTTTTCTTTTTTTTGCAGCAAGTGTTGTATGAACATTGAACAGAGACCTTTTTTTTTCTTTGGACAGAGTAAATGACCATTTTACCCTTCTATCTAGAATAAAACTGACTATTTGAGAACTAACTATTATAAAATGGAACTGCTGTATGGATAGATGATGTCTGTTGTATTGAAAAAAAAAATCTACTTTTTTTGGATTGAATGAGTGTGTCTCAATGAGAGTAAATGACCATCTTACCCTTCTATCTAAAAGTAAATTTGAATAAAAAAGACTGCTTATTTGCAAACTGTTATAAAATGAAATTGTTGCATGGATAAAGTGCTCAATGGATAGTTGATGTTTGTCTTTGTTGTATTGACAAATACTGTTTCTTTTTTGGACTCCATGAATCATCTCATGAGTAAATGACATCTTTACCCTTTTGTCTATCAAAATTGTTGTACAGACAAAAGAGATCAATGGATAAATGTCTTTCTGTTTTAAGTAATGTATGAACACATACAGTTTCTTTTTAGACTGAATAAACTGTCTGAATGAGAGTAAATGTAAATGACCATTTTACCCTTCCATCTAAAGTGATTTCTTACTTTTGTTGTGACCTCAAGATGACGCCATAGCTCTTCATCATGTTGCTTTAAAAGCTGTGATAATCTTGAAATTGTGGATCGAATGCCAACAATACTATTATCAAGTTGCTGACAAAAATTATCTCTAAAACCACTTATTAACTCAACAAAGCAAAAGAAAGTATCTGCTTCAGCATTAACCTGTACAAATAAATCCATATCAACTAATTACTAAACCAAAATCATGATTGATATAATATGACAAATTGACAATCAATGTTATTTTATTCATTTACCAAAGAATCCTCATTAGGGTCATTTCTGAAAACATAGAACAAAGGGGCCAAAAGTTCATTCATCCCTTGCACATATCTTATCCCTGGGTTCAGTTTTGCAAATATGATGAGAATGTTTTTTAAAGATTCTTGATTGGCTTTTGAAGATGCTGAGTCACCAGAGAAAAAAGGGATGTCTGGATGAGTTCGTTTCACATCACGATCTATCTGCTCAATGATCTCAGAGTCCTACAAAGTATTTGATTTAAGAATTGAATCCAAAAATCATTCTTTCATGTGTGAGAGTGGAATCATACCTGAAAGAATTGGTTCCAAATGCTAGTCTTCCCTAGGCTTAATGGATGCTCCCCATGAGGTATTTTTGACCTTTCCAGTAACCCTTTTCCCTCACTTAGATCACCATTTTTAAGAGATGCAGAGACTTCCAATGTCCTGGTGATTTCTGACTGACTAGCCACAGAAACATTCAGAATCATGGAGCAAGAAGTCTAATAAGGGATCAAATGAACTAAAAACTTACTGGATTCATCAAAAGGTTCTCTTTGAACTGTTTGTACTGAGCTCTCTTCTTAGCCAATTCTGATGACCAAAGCCCTTTATCAGTTGGAAGATATGCCAACAACAACTGAAAGTATGGAATGGAAGAATCACAAATGAATCTATTTTAAGTTTCAAACACATAGAACATAGAGCTCAACACTCGACACAGGTCGCATTTTGTTACTCACCTTCCATACAGTGGAACGGATGCCAGCAGCATCTGGAATACCCAACAAACACAGTTGTCGCAGTTCTCCAATGTTTATAATCTTCCTCGATAGCTACATTCAACAGAATTCAACAAAAAAAGAGGTGTAGTGACTAATGATTGCGTTTGTTATCATTACTAGTATTTGAATTTCGGTTATTACTTGGGAACCAACTGTGTTCGCTAGAAATTGTTTTTCGTTCAGTAAAAACCTTGATTGATCGTATTCCAGAAATTAGAAGCATGAAAATCTTCTGATTGTGTAAATTCAGATGTCTAACCTCTTCTAATAACTGTGCCTGACGTGAAACATCTTCAATGGAGGAACTAACGTCGTTATCACTGTTCACGCTACGGGTCGATGAATCCCTAATTCTCGTCTTCGGAGTCGGTTCCTGTTTGATTGAAGTAGGAGGTGGCAACGGAACATGCGGTTCATTCAGAGAAGAATCGGATGACGTGACGGAGGAAGATTTGGAAGGGTAACTACCGATACCATATCGATCGTCGTTCGACGACGAAGGAGGCGGAGGCGGCGGCGATAGGGATCGTGATTTCGGTGGTGGAGATGTGGTAACTGTGGGAGAAGACCACATGGGGCTGTTGAGCCAATCAGGAAGGCGTTTCTTCACCATGATGATTCTGTAGATTCTGGTTCTGTGAATGAGGGTTTGATTTTGATTCACACAGTGGTGAGTGCGTATTGTATTTGTATGTGTGTTGTTTGTCTCGTCTTTGGAAATTGTTACAGCTGTGTCTCCGGCCGTGTGTTGTCATCGTCTTCCTCGTGGAACCGCCATATTGCTTCCAATCAGTGCTGTGTCCCACGTTGGTTGCCACATCTTTAATTGTAGAGTTTTTGAGGGGATTAATCCAAAACCATTTCATCTCGATTAAATCAAAAACTTTAGAGTTATCTATGATCTCATCTTATTATATAGAAATTAAATAAACCAATCAAACTTTCTGTTAAATATTATATATATTAGACTAATATTATAAAAATTTTAAATTTTTAAAGCGTAATTAGAAAAAGCTTTGATATTTTTTTTATTATTGTTTTGACCATAACTTTCTCGCAGAATTATCCCTCTACCTACTTAATAAGTTTCATGGTTAATTTGGTTAACTTTTTTACAAAACCAGTCCTAAAATGTTCAAATTTGGTTCCTAATTTTTGCAAAAAGTTACACCATATTATTTTCTAAGTTTATTTTTCGTTTTTTGTGTACTTTATTTATTTTCGGGTTTTTTTGTAAATATATATACATTTTTTATTTTCTTTGTTTATATATACTTTATTTATTTTCATTTTTTTTTAACTTTTCAACAATTTGATTTTTGTTTACCTTTTGTTTTCTATCTTTTTAATGTATATATAGAGTATATTAGAGTTTTTTTTTTCATTTTTCTTTTCGTATTATATTTTTTATTTTTTTCATCTTTTTATTTATTTTTTTTCTTATTTTTTTTCTAATTATTTGGTTTTTTTTGTATTTTTAACTTTTTTATTGATCTTTTTCGAAAAATGTAAAATGTATTAATATATTAGAGTATATTATAATTTTGATAATTTATAGTTTTTGTAAATTTTTTTTATTTTTTTTCAAGTAAATAAAATAATTATGTTTATATTTGTAATTTCGGTCCAACTTTTTTTCTTTTTATTCTTTTTTCTTTAGTGTTATTATATTTATGTTACGAAAAAATGAAAATTAAAAAAAATTAGCTTGCTTATTGAGAATTAGTGTTTCAATGTGCTCTATAACTTGCAAATTAAACCATATATCTATATATGATATCAATAGGTTAAATGCAAGATAATATTTTTAAATTTGAGAATAGACTAAAAGAAAGAACAAAAAATATAATAATAGTCGGTTTCTATAAAAAATAAAAAATAAAAAAAAAACTTGTTATAGTAATTTAAATTAAATTCAAGTTCGTTTACTTGAATCAAAATAAATAAAAACATTAGAAAAACCATAAATAACTAAAATAGAAAAAAAATAGAAAACAAAAGGTAAAAAAAACAAATAAACAAATTGTTGAAAAATAAAGTTAAAAAATGAAAATAAATAAAGTATATAAACAATAATATATATATATATATATATATATATATATATATATATATATATATATATATATATATATATATATATATATATATATATATATATATATATATATATATATATATATATAAACGAAAATAAATAAAGTTTACAAAAAATGAAAAATAAACTTAAAAAATCATGTGGTGTACTTTTTTGCAAACATCATGGACCAAATTTGAACTTTTTAGGACTGATTTTGCAAAAAAAAAAATTAACCAAGTTAACCATGAAACTTGTTAAGTGGGCTAGAGTGATAATTATGCGAAAAAGTTGTGGCCAGAGCAATAATAAAAAAAAAATATTAAGGTTTTTTCCAATTACACGTTAAAAATTTAAGGCTTTTATAATATTAGTCCTTTAATATTTTTTTAAATATAACCTTAAAAAATGATCCACTTCCTCAAAGGCTCTCATTTACATAAATGTAGTCCAAAATTTTATCCATCAGGATTTCATCGTTAATCTGTCACTAATATTTCGTTGTCTGTCATAAATTTGTCATTAATCCATTGCTAGTCCGAAATTTTATGGACCCAATTTTTTACTTTTCGGCAAAAAAGTCTTAAAAATAAAAAGGACCCAATTTTTTTACTTTTCCGCAAAAAGTCTTAAAAATAAAAGGACGAGCCTAGGTTCTATATAAGTGTTGCTCATATCTCATATTGTAATGTGATTTCAGAAAATTTAAAAAAAAATAATAATAATAAAACTCAAACATTGAAGTTTTTCTTTGAAGAAAAACATGGATTTCAGGAACCATGTTAGTATTACATGTTTATTTGTTTGGATTTTATGTTCATATGTTTAAAGTGTCGATCTAGATTATAAATAGTGTATTTGGAATGCGAATATTTAATTTTCAACTTTTTGGTATTTTTTTCTGTTAGATTAATCACTACACATGTTAGTAACTTGTGTGTAGCCCAAGAACCCTTACAAAAATATAACCCCCCCCCCCCCCCCCCCCAATGCCAAGAGATGTCTGTAGTTATAGTTTTTGTTTTGGAATGCGAAGAACTGTTTCAAATGATATGATCTCTTTCGGAATGGATTCTCAATTTATTTAGAAAAACACTCAGTTGATAAAGTACATTGTTGTATTATATTTAAAATAAAGTAATAATGGTTTGTATACAACAACAATATCAAATCTAAAAATCTGAAGAAGTTTGAATTCAGTTCGTAGGTGCATACAATCGATTTGCATAAGTGTTTCTTGAAAGGCAGGTTTTTACCAAAAAATGAGATTATGACATATCTATAAGAATTTTCAGAACTATAGCAAGCAACTTTGTATTTACATACTTATATTCTATTAATATTTTATAATACAAAAACTATACATTTTATTTGCAAAGACAAATATTAGATGTATAAAAAAAAACAATCATCAAAGTCAAATATAAAAGAAGAAGAAAATCAGAGACGGTGTTAAAGCTTAGACCGGAAGCAAATAGAGCTCTCAAAGACAAAAACGGGTGAAACCTAAACAAAACTGTCATTTTAGACTAATGTAACATGTGGATTGGATGTCCATAACTCGACTAGATACTTTTGTATAATATTTAATGTTCTTTTGGAACCATATCAATGTTTTAAAGAATTTTATATTTTATGTATCACAATCTTTAACACCCATTGTTGCTCTACCACTCCCAAATATAATATGAAGTGTTATGTGGTGAGGTTAAACAGCGGTGACTTGCTGATAGGATTATGTTATAACTCATTCATGATTTTCAGTGTATGAAAAAACAATTGTTAACATTGGAAATCTCATTACCACCTTCAGCAATCGACGAGCAAAGAAAAAGTTAGTTTTTTTATAATACGCATTTGCATATTATAAAAGTTTTTTATAATGTCTGAAGATATACAAAAGTTTTTCAACTCAAAGGAAAGAATCGAAGAAGCGTGTAGGGTTAGTGCAACACTAGAGGAGTAAGTTGAAATGGTTGATACTACAATCGACTTAAATAAAAGCTACATGCTATTGTTTGACGTTCATGTAGACACTGCTTGTTTGCACCATATGTAAGTCCCAAGTAATCATCATAATCAAGTATAAAGAAAAAAAAAATGTAATGTTTTTTTAAACATTGATATGTAAAGTTCTAAGTAATCAATTTCCCAACACAAAATGACCATTTTAGAAAATTCAAAGCAAATTAGAAAAAGACAATGAAGGCCAAAACTGTGAAGTGTCCAAGACATCTCAAACTCTAAAACCAGATTCAGAAAGAAAACTAGCCAAATTAGTCTATAATCTTGCCAATTAAAAAACCCAAATTTATTCATGAAGTAAATTTATGAGCTTTATCAATTATCATTCATGCTTTCCAAATTTCAAGGTTGATAAACATCAGGAAGCTGGAGACCCACACTTGCAGCAGATTTTCCAAGTATTCTCTTCATTTCATCTGTTCTATCAACAGCAATGTTGTATGAAAATAGCAACTCCTACAACATCACAATTCACAAGCATCATGAAACTTCCATTAACACGGGATTGTAACATGATTTTGCAAGATCAAGATGGAAAATGTTTACCTGGTGATGATGGACACTGTTTATAAGGAAAGTATAATCATGGGCAAGTTTGATTTTTTGCTGGATGAATGATGTCTCTAACCCATCTCCATTTTTCTTGAATTCCGACTTTATGAAGTCTCTGAAATGGGTTTTGTGTTCTTCCTTCCCAATGTGTTTCTTCACTGCTTTCATTAGCTCTCTGTAAACCTTTGCAGCTTTTAAAGCTTCACCAGACCCCATCCTCTTGATTCAAATCAATATCTACTGTAATTTTCCCTCTCTTCTTACTCAAAATAGCCTATTCTGGTTCAATTTAAGCAGTAAAAACTATTAGGGTTTGCAGTCAATTCAAAAGATCCGATTAACATGGGAAACTTTAGATTTTGATGTCAATCACAGAACTTTCCGGATATAAATTCCGCATTGAGGTCGTTTCCAGATTAACAGCGAATATATGTAATTTGTAGCAATACAAAATCTGTTTGAAACGCCTACTTTAAAGAGTTTAAAATCAATTTTCGTTTTGAAGTCAATAATTAAATCGTATCGAAAATTCAAAGGAAATATGTAGAAATAATGATGAAGAAACTAACCGTATGGAGCGTTAGATGTACCGGCGGATATACTGCTGCTGGCCACCGTTCGCCGGAGGAGGATTGGAGGTTGGGGGCGTATTGCTAGACTCGTAATGTCGGACCAAATGTTTGTGTTTTGTTGAAATAAAACGTCGATTCTCCCCTAAAGTTATTCCTAGTGTCGTTTTTGCACCAAATTTTGTTATAAAACCACTAAAACGGCCATTTTTTCATTAAAATTTTGTTATCAAGTTGTCAAGATCGAGATCTTACATTATGATAATCATGAGACGGAACACCTGTACTGATTTCTCGAAAACCGAATTTGATCAAAAGTCAATCTCGACTCATTCTCAACTTGATGAAGGTATAAAGCTTTGATCTTGATCATTTATCTCTTAGATCTCTTAGAGTGGGGTTTGGAGCATTTTGGTCCAAAGGTGGAAGCTTTGTGGGTCAATCCGATTTCTAAGACTTAGAGTTGCCACTCTCAGTGTTAAATGAGTCCTTAAGGCAGAAAGTTGCCACCTTTGATGTACTAATGGGTTCATGCATGAGTTAAGACCATTTCCATGGAAGTAGATTGTTATTTTTGGAGTTTGAGCTTATATGGGTCATGCAAAGCCATCAAGTAAGCAACTTTATGGTTTAAGACGTCAATAAGG